CTGTCCCTGTGTCCCTGTCCCAGAGCAGTGAGGGGGAGGAGAAGGAGGTCCTGGTGTTTCTGTGTCCCTTTTTGGGGAGATCTCACCTGGGGAAGTCGGGCAAAAATTGGGGGAAAACAGAGGAAATTGGAGGAAAATCAGAGGATTTGGAGAGGAAAATGGTGAAATTGGTGGAAAGTGGGTTAAATTTGGGTTGGAAACGGGGGATTTGCTCTGCTCTAAAGGACTTCCCTCCCCCAGTTCCAGTCCCATCAGATCTTCCACGTGCTGGTGGTGGCCGCAGCCTTTGTCCACTTCTACGGGGTGTCCAACCTGCAGGAATTCCGCTACGGGCTGGAAGGGGGGTGCACAGATGACTCCCTGCTCTGAGGGCACCGCCTGCTTTTAGTCCAAGCTTTCCTCAAGTGCTTTTTAAACTCTTTTTGTCTTTGCTCAGATCCAAGGAAGACTCAAAAACTGGGTTTGGGGGTTGCTGGTGGGGTTTTTTTGTTGTTCTTTGGGTTTGTTTTTTTTTTAAAGAAATGGAGAAATCCTTTAGGAAAGTCATCGACCAAATCTTCACCCCCTCCCCCAGTGGGGTCTGGGGGGGTTTGGGGGCTCCCCCAGGCCGGGTTTAGCTGCACTGGGGGCTCCCCCAGCACAGGGAGCAGCTGCTGTTCCTGCCCAACCGAGCACATCCCGCCCCTCACCGACCCCACATATCCCCCTGGGAATTCTGCGGCTCCCAGGGCAGCTCCCGGGGCACAGAGTGTGTAATTTAAAATGTTTTAATTGTCCTTTTTTTTCGGTTTGTTTTTTTCCTTGACCATGTAAAGAGAAAGGAGGGTATTTAATATTTAAACCGAGCTTTAAAGGCAGCCCCTCGGCCAGGAGGGGCAGGGGGGGCTGGTCTGGGACTCAGAGCTGCTGTAGAGACAATAAAAGGTCACTGGATCAGTGTCACCCGGGCCCGTCACTGCGTCACCCTTTCTGTGCCACCCCCTGGGGGGGGACAGAAGCAGCTGCTCAAGGGGCGTGGGGGGCTCCGGCACCCCCAGAGTGGGGCAGGGGGGTCTGGACTGAGCCAATAAACTGGGATTAACTGGGAATTCTGGGGGGTTGTGGTGGGGATGGGGTGGGAAAACCCCCCTGGCTGGGGCAGCCTTGGGGAAATTCCTTCTGGGATCAGGGGCAGGAGGGGGCACAGCCTGGGCAGGGCCCTGAGTGGGGCTCAGAGACCACTGAGGGGCAGAGCCCAGCTCAGGCAGCTGAAGGCCACTGCTTGTGGCAGGGCTGAGGGACGAGCGTGGGCAAGGCCACCACGGCCACTGTGCCCCTGGCCCTGTGCCACCTGGGCTGAGCCTGACTAATCCTGCATCTCTGTCCTACCCAGGCTGAGCCCAGCTGATCCTGCAGCCCTGTCCCAGCTCCAAGGGATGAGAGCCGAGCCCTGGAGTCCTGGGCTGGCTGTGGGACAGGCAGGAGGGAGGGAGTGTCCCTCTGGAGGACACAGGATGAGCAGGATCTCACACACTTTGTCCAACTCTCTGCCAACATTCCCAGGGTCCAACACCACTCAGTTTTCCCATTCTCAGCTCTGGCTCCGTTTGCTCCTCCCTGGGCAGAGGAGAAGCCACAAAGTCGCTCCGATGTTCCTTGAGGCTTTCAGGATGTTGGATCAGCCCCTGGCAAGGATCAGCAGGGACTAACCCAGGTCAGGAATTGCCCTGGCAAACCTGGATGGGGCAGGGACTGTAACTGCTGGAGCAGGGAAGGGCCTCCCCGGCAGGAGTTGGGACAAAGCCAGGAGCAGGTGCTGGAATTGGGATCCCAGTGGAAGCTGAGGCTGTGCTGGCAGCAGGAATGAAGGTGCAACACTTCCCCCTCTAGCCCCACACCCCAAATCCAGGCTGAAATTCCAGCTGCAGGTGCCACATCCCAGAGGAGACTCCAAGACTTTCACTCCAGCGTCCCAAGGATGACAAGACTCCGTGTGCTCCATGTCTCAAACCTCCTTGTAATTCCAGCCCATGTGTAACATTACAGATGGGAATTATTGGGAATAAATAGATTTGTCATCTCCTAAAAGTTCTCCTGAGCTCTGGGAAGTGCTGCAGGTGTTCCTGGGAGGGGGAGGGGAGGGACATCCCATTCTGGAGCTCCAGCAGGGACATCCCATCCCATCCTGGGGCTCCCAGGCCCCTCACTGGTACTGTTGATAGTTGCTGAACGGGGGGGGCTGGAGCTGGGAGGGATCCTCGGACAACTGCGGGCCTGGAGAGGGAGAGGAGAAGCAAATCAATCCCAAAAGGCAGGAGATTCCTCCTGCAAACAGTGGGTTGGTTCAGATAAATCCCCCTGGAAATTAATCCCCAATCCCAGCCTGGTTTGAGTTTCACAAAGACTGTCAAGAGGTTTCACAGAATCCTGGAATGGTTTGGGTGGGAAGGGACCTCAAATCCCATCCAGTCCCACCCCTGCCCCGGGCAGGGACACCTCCCACCATCCCAGGCTGCTCCAACCTGGCCCTGGACACTCCCAGGGATGGGGCAGCCACAGCTTTTTTGGGAATTCTATCTCAGCCCCTCCCCACCCTTACAGGGAGGAATTCCTTCCCAAAATCCCATCTAACCCTCTGGCAGTTGCTCCCCCCAGCACTGGGTTGGGAAGCTGAATCCACAATTGTTCCATTCCAGTGGTTCCTTTATCCCTGGGGTCAAACCTTCTCAGAGGGGTTGAGGGCACCTCCAGGGCACTGAGGGGCCTAGAAAGGGTTCCCTCTCCCTGCTGGGAAACCTGGGAGCAGCCTGGGATAGTGGGAGGTGTCCCTGCCCGGGGCAGGGGTGGGACTGGATGGGATTGAAGGTCCCTCCAACCCAAACCATCCTGGGATTCTCTGACAGAGATATTTAGGATTTTCCACAGTCACCAACCCAACTGACACCCCAGCTCTTGTTTTACTTGGGGAAAAAAAAAGGAATGTGGGTTTTGAAGTTCAGGGAAAGGAAAACCCCTCAGCCTTCCTGGAAATGGGTTATGTGGGTCTGCCAGGACCTTATCAGCTCCTGCACCTGGGGCTCCCACACCCGCGCTGCCAGGACCTTCCCTGGGCTGCCAGGACCTGCTCTGGGCTTCCAAAACTTTCCCTGGGCTGCCAAAATGTATTCTGGAGCCAGGCTGGCAGAGCTGGGAATGTTC